CAAACCTCAAACTCCTGGGCTTAAACGATTCTCTTGCCTCAGCCTCCCAAGTAGCTGGGACTACAGGTGCCCGCCACAATGCCTGGCTATTTTTTGGTTGTACTTGTCATTGTTGTTTGGCAGGCCTGGGTTGGTGTATGTGGCTGGCGCCTTAGCTGCTTGAGCTACAGGTGCCGAGCCTGTAAGTATATATTTTTAAATTAAGGTTTTTGGTCACCTTACATGATCTTGGGACACATATTTTTCTTCTCTGTGGCTAGGTTCTCTACTTCCTCTCTTCCCCAATGTGGCCACATAGACAATGAAAAGAAAAAAGGGTGAAAAGAAAAGAAAAAGAATGGTATTTTTTTTGCAGTTTTTGGCTGGGGCTGGGTTTGAACCTGCCACCTCCAGTATATAGGGCTGGCGCCCTACTCCTTTGAACCACAGGTGCCACCCAGGGTGATGGTATTTTAGATTTACATTTATGCTGAAGGGAAAGAGAAAGCTGAAATGTGATGGAGATGCTCTGTCTACGTGCAAAGAACATTGCAGGGGAGAGCAGTGGGATAGGACATGGAAGTAGATACTACAAAAGAGATGAAATGCAAACAGATGGGAAGCTCTCGTTTGTGGGTTCAGAGGGTCTAAGCACACTAGAGAGTAAAGAAAACTGATAAGCAGCTGGGGCAGAGGAAGGCGGGGTGTTGCAAAAAATGGGGAAAAGGGCGAGAAAAAAGTAAAAGGGTTACAGATGACAAACATATGTAATGGATTACATATAACAACTTTCAAGTGGCCATTGAATCAAGGCGGGTCATAAAGCAGAGAGGACTGCGTGGAGGAAATGTCTGCCAGTGAAGGACCATTTAGTCTACAGGTCATATTTTTAGTCCCTATTTTGATGCCAAGCTCTGTGGTGGGCTCTGAGATACAATAGTGAGTAAGGCACAAGAAGCTTCTTGTAAGAAGCTTACATTCTACTGGAGTTAGAGTAAGAAGGTTGTGTTCCAGCGGACCCAAAGTGAAAGGACTTGAATCCTCAGACATCTTCAACAGGATCAGACCCCAAAGTTGGAAGTCTGTGACTGTGGAAGAAGTCATTTCAACATGGAATTGTGGGATGACCCACCTGAGAACACAGTGATTGGAGTTGTGATCAAGTGTTGAGCATGGGAATAGGGTTAAGTTAGCAACTTAGGAGACTGGGCAGAGAAGCTGATCAAGAAGAAATGAATGTGTATATATAGTATTTTGTTCCTTATTATCTCTATATCCTGTAATAAAGCCATTGATTGGAAGAATACTACAAATGTAAAAGTGAAAGAAAATAAGGAATGATGTGATACTATGAGTATAGTCTTCTGAAGTGATGTTTCTCCTTATATTCCCACTGTTTTGAAAATGAGAATAATCTCCTCTCCTTTTCCTGTTATTCTTTCACCTCCTCTTCCCTCCTTTTCCTCCTCCTCCTTGTCCTACTTCTTATGGTAGCTTTTCCAAACTGTCTTCTGTTTGGGCAACAGTCCAGATCCCATTTTGTCACTCCCCAGAAATCTCCTCGGATAGGATTTATTTCAATGGTTTCTCCAAAGGAGTTGTAAAAGTGAAGAGCTTCTAGACAGATTACAGGGTCTAATCTCTAGTAGCATTAATATGTATAATGTAACAATAAATGTACTGTACTTTAGTTTCTGTCATGAGCTAATTTACTTGTAACACTTAACATTTTACATTTGCCTTATTGGTATCTCACTAAAACAGTGCTGGTCTTTCCATAGATTCTGATGACACTTTGTTGGTGTGTATGAGTTTGGCTGGGGGCAATGTGTGGGATGACAGAAGGCACTGGTTTTGATTTGAGGATAGTTTTTAAATTTTAGTTTTAGGCTCGGCACCTGTGGCTCAAGTGGCTAAGGTGCCAGCCACATACACCTAAGGTGGTGAGTTCAAATCCAGCCCAGGCCCACACAAACAACAATGATGACTGTAACCAAAAAAAAAAAAAAAATAGCCAGGCGTTGTGACGGGCACCTGTGGTCCCAGCTACTTGGGAGGCGGAGGCAGGAGACTTGCTTGAGCCCAGGAGTTGGAGGTTGTTGTGAGCTATGATGCCGCAGCACTCTACCCAGGGGGACAGCTTGAGGCTCTGTCTCAAAAAAAATATTTTAGAAAGAGCGAATAAGAGCTTGTAGATAAGTGATCCTTGGGATCTTTTCCCTGAAGCTCATAGAATGATGTAGTTAAAAGACCATGGCCTTGATCCATTAACTAAGAGGTCAGTCAGCCATTAGTTCAACCCATGACTCCTAAACTTTCATTCCCATTTCCATGCTCTAGAACAAAATTTGTTTTACTGCTCTTATTCACTTCTCCTTATTTCTCTTTGAGAATGTACTTTTAAAAAATTTCAAAATAAGCTCAGTGGTTAGGGCACTGGCCATATGCACTGGAGCTGGTGGGTTAGAACCCAGCCAGGCAGGGCCTGCTAAAACAACAAAGACACAATAACATCAACAACAAGAAAAATAGCCGGGCATTGTGGTGGATGCCTATAGTCCCAGTTACTTGGGAGGCTGAGGCAAGAGAATCACTTAAGCCCAAGAGTTTGAGGTTGCTATGAACTGTGACACTATGGCTTTCTACTGAGGGCAACATAGTCAGACTCTGTCTCAAAAATTTTTTTTCGAAATAACCTTAAGAATAGTGTTGCTTCTGTTATAGTATAGTTTAGCTCATTTAATATATGATGCTTTCAGTTTCTGATCTAACTGTAACCTTAGAAAACTGATTGACATAATGATAATTTGAATGTCTTTTAAATGTATATGCATTTTCCTTTTAGTGTTCATTTAAGGAATTTGAAATTTAACTTTTCTTTTTTTCTTTCTTAAATTTTCTAGCATTATGAATTCCTTTGTTATTATTATTTTCCTCTCTGGAATGGTAGCTATGATCACCTTAAGGACTCTCCGTAGAGATATTACCAGATATAATCAGATAAATTCTTCTGTAAGTAAAAATGCATATTCGTTTCAACAAATACTTGAATGCCTACTCTGCCTAGTCTCAATGTTGTATTTCTAATATTTCTACTTAGAGTATAGCATCTTGAATATAACACGTTTGATGTCTAGTAATTTTGTATGTTATACCAAATCAGTTATACATGGGCACAGAGAAAAGTAAAATTCATTGGAAATAAAGAAGGGGAGGGGAGAACTCAAATCAGCTAGAAAAAGTAAAATTCCTATAGAAAGAGTGAAAAAGACAAGAACAGATGCTTTTCAAAATAAGATAGATTAATGGCCAATAAATATTATGAAAAAATGCTTAACATCTTTAATCATCACAAACCACAGTGAGAAAGCACTTGGCTCCAATAAGAATGGTGTTTATCAAAAAGTCCCAAAACAATAGATGCTGGTGTGGACGCAGAGAGAGAGGAACACTTATACACTGCTGGTGGGACTACAAACTAGTACAACTTCTGTGGAAACTAGTATGGAGATAACTCAAAGAACTAAAAGTAGACCTACCATTTGGTCCAGCAATCTAAATAGTGGATATTTACCCAAAGGAGAAAAAAAACTTTTATCCAAAAGACTTATGTACTTGAATGTTTATTGCAACACAATTCACGATCACAAAGATTTGGAACCTCCTGTGTCCATCAGTACATGAGTAGATTAATAAAATGTGGTATGTGTATACTATGGAGTATGACTCAACCATGAAAAATAGTGAACTAATACCTTTTATAACAATGTGGATGGAACTGGAGGCCACTCTTCTAAGTGAAGTATTGAAAGAATTGAAAAACACATAGCCCATGTGTTCACTATTAAATTGGAACTAATTGTTCAGCACTCATGTGTATCTATGGTAGTAAAACTCAATGGAATCCAAGCAGGTGGGGAGGAGGAGGGGATGGATAAATTCATACCTAATGGGTACAGTGCCATGCTATCTTGGTAGTGGGCACACTTATAATTTTGACTCAAACTGCACAAAAAGAATCCATATAACCAAAACATCTGTTTATACTGTTTAACTCTTGTAATCATTTGTGTATTGGTAAATTTTTAATTTCTATAACATTGGTTTAGTTTCTTATGTAAATTAAATCATTTTGCTTTCTTCATGAAAAGCAATCCAGTTGTATGTTTGATGTAATTAACACCTTTCCTCCAATGCAAAACTTAGAGTAAGGGAATGATTCATTTATGTGGTAGGATCATGTACCTTACAGAGTCCTGCTAAATTCATAATGAGCCTTTGGTTTCCAGTTAGTGTGTCTTTAGAGGAAAATTGCATTCTATCTAACCTTTAGAGCTCTTATAACTTTCTTTCATAGTAACTGTATAATTATTAAAGACTTTTTCCTGTGCAGGAAGACGCCCAGCCAGACTTTGGTTGGAAGCTGGTTCATGGAGATGTCTTCAGGCCTCCAAAGAATGGAATGTTGCTCTCAGTCTTCCTGGGTCAAGGAGTGCAAGTTTTCATCATGACATTTATTACTTTATGTGAGTAGGCTCAGATATATCTTAAACATTCATACTAAAACAGCAACATATGCTGAACTTTGATTCGTGTGTGCAGAAAGACTTCAAAATTTATATGCTGACGTTTACGGAAATTTGTGTTTTTGTAGAACTTACATTTCTGTCTTCTCAAATTAAGATAGGAGCCAATGTTCCTATATCAAGAACCTTCTATAGCTTCTTCAGTTCTGAAGAGCCTATTGTGAACTCCAGTACTTATATTCCTTGTTTTGCAAAAGAGATGCATTCTTGAAAATCAGTCCATGAGTACAGTCGTATTTTTCATGGGCTAAGGGAGTTCATGATTCAAACGCAAGCATTTCAATATGCTATGCCAAGCTCAAGTGCTGGCCCTTAAGTGTATAAATGGAATGGCGTCTTTAGTAGGCTCACAATAGCTGATGTACCCTATCTGCCTTCATTTATAAGCTAAAAATGGAGCTTAACGATTTTTGATAGCTGGGTAGTAATTTTCACAAACAAAGCTGCTGTAAAAGGTGGCTTTATGTATTTCAGATGTCAATGATAATTTCAAAATTCACCTCTTAAGGTTATATTTTCCTGGGATCAAGTCTCACTTTGATTTTTTTAATTCTCTACTTTGAATACAAGGAAATTTCTTTCTTTCTTTTCTTTTTTTTTTTGCAGTTTTGGCTGGGGCTAGGCTTGAACCCACCACCCCCAGTATATAGGGCCGGCACCCCACTCTTTGAGCCATAGGTGCCACCTCCCCCCCCCTTTTTTTTGAGACAGAGTCTCACTCTGTTACCCTGGATAGAGTGCCATGGCGTCATCATAGCTCACAGCAACCTCAAACTCCTGGGCTTGAGCAATCCTCTTGCTTCATTTAGCCTTCTGAGTAGCTGGGACTATAGGTGCCTGCCTCAATACCCAGATAGTTTTTTTTTCTATTTTTAGTAGAGGCAGGGTCTCGCTCAGGCTGATCTTGAACTCCTGAGCTCAAGCAATCCACAAGCATCAGCCTCCCAGAGTGCTGGGATTATGGGGCATCAGCCACCGCGCTTGGCCAGAAATTTTCAGAGGAAAAAAATAATTCGCTCTTTTGGAGTGACTACTAAAGTAGGGAAGGGGAAGATATTTTATTTAATTTTGGTTTTCATAGTGAAATTAAAGACTAATTGAACTTGAAATTTTACTTCCATTTACTTTGAATTAAATATCAGACCTATTTATTAAGGAAAAATTGTGAGGCCAAATGCAGTGGCTCATGCCTGTAAGCCCAGCACTCTGGGAGGCCCAGATAGGAGGATCGCTGGAGCTCAGGCGTTTGAGATCAGCCTAAGCAAAAGCAAGATCCCATCTCTACTAATAGAAAAAGTAGCCAGGTGTTGTGGCAGGTGGCTGTAGTCCCAGCTACTTGGGAAGCTGAGGCAAGAGGATCTTTTGAGTCCAAGAGTTTGAAGTTGCTGTGAGCTGTTAGGTCATGATACTCTACCCAGGGTGACAGAGTGAGACTTTGAAAAACAAAACAAAACAAAAAACCAAGACTCACAAATTGAGAAAGAGTTAACTAAGTGAATAAATAACATTTGTTTGCAGCATCCATCCCTTAAGTACTCCTGTTAGAGAATTTCCTTGTGTGCTATTTCATATGTCTTAGAAGGGTTGTGCTTAATTTCTTATAAAGTCCTGTGTAATTCTGAGACTATTATTGTCACTGATTTCCTATTTCTTTTTTGTGCCTTTAGTTCTGGCCTGCCTTGGTTTTCTTTCCCCTGCCAATAGAGGAGCTTTAATGACCTGTGCTATTGTGTCATGGGTCCTTCTGGGAACCCCGGCTGGATATGTGTCTGCTAAAATGTATAAGAGTAAGTATTATAATAATTATTGTAATTATTATAAGGAAGTTGGTGTTAAATGTAGAAATTAAAAGGCTTTAGGCCAGGCACAGTGGCTCCCTATCCCTCTTCGGAGGCTGAGGTGTGAGGATTGCTTGAGCCCAGGAGTTAGAGATCAGCTTGAGTAAGAGTGAGACGCTGTCTCTCCTAAAAATAAAAAAAAATATTAGGCTGGGTGTGGTGGCTCAGTCCTGTCATACTAGCACTCTGGGAGGCCAAGGCAGGTGGATAGCTTGAGTTCATGAGTTCAAGACCAGCCTGAGCCAGAGGAAGACCCATGTCTTAAAAATAACAGGGTGTTACAGTGAGTGCCTATAGTCTCAGCTACGTGGGAGCTAAGGCAAGAGGACATTTGAGTCCAAGAGTTTGAGGTTGCTGTGAGCTATGATGCCATGGCACTCTACCCAGAGTGAGACTCTGTCTCCAAAAATAAAAAAGAAAAAAATAAAGGCTGTAAAATAAAAAATTGAACAAATTGCATGGGGAATTTTAGCCAACCTATCAAAATATATTACTTGTGCTTTGGTTATTCTAAAGTATTTGTGAAGCGGACTAAATCAAGTTGCTACAGTCACTGTTCTGTTTTTTACTTCCTCAGCATTTAAAGGTGCTAACTGGAAGACAAATTTCCTGCTGACAGCACTATTATGTCCCGGGTTAGTATCTCACGTTCTTTTTTCTCTATGCAATTTTATTCTTCCTTATACTTCATCTTGGAAAAAATCATTATACACTATAATGAAGAGTAGGAAGGAGATGAATGACCACTGTGCTTTCTGAAGATGCAGTACTTTCTTTCTGTTGTGTCTGCATTCTTTTCATCTTTTCGTACATCTGACACGGAGGTGACGATGGTGCTGTGGTATTCGATGTTGATCTTTGTTTCTGAAGCAGATTTCATAAATGCTCATCTCATGCATACATCTTGCATTATAAATCATGCTGGAGCAGCAGCTTATACATGACATTTACATTTTTTTCATTTTTATTTAATTCTCCATACACTGGTAATATGCACGACATTTTGTTATGTTCCTTGTCACTGCCTTCAGTGATTACTTCTTCCCATCTCACTGAGTTACTGTAGCATCATTAGTGGCTGCAGTTCCAAGGTACAGTCAAAGTCACAGTGAGGGTGGGGGTGATGTGTGCAGTGGCTGTGAGAGTACCTCATCCAGTGTCCTAATTATATAGATGCAGAATCTGTGGCCAAACCTGGGAGCAACTTGTTCCAGGTGACATGTGAAGTCAGTAAAAGGACCAGGCTATATATAACCCCAACACACCACCTCCCCCACATTCTATCCATTCCCCTTCCCACAAGACTCCACTGATAAAGCACTAAATTGTTTAGGGTTTTATGTCTAAATTCCTCACCATATTTTTGCCATCATTAGTTTGGACTTCCATAACAAAATACTAGAGACTAGATGGCTTAAACAATGGAAATATATTTTCTTACAGTTCTTAGAGGCTGAGAAGTGCAATCAGAATGTTAGTATATAGTTGGGCTCTGGAATGGGTCTTCTTTCTCACCACCTTCTCTCTATGTCCTCATGTGACAGAGAAAGAGAAAGAGAGAGACATAGAGGGATAGAGAGAAAAAGAGAGGGAGAGAAGTGAGCTCTGTCTTTATAAGGGGATTAATTCCATCATGGGGGCCCCATTCTCATGACCTCATCTAACCCTAATTAGATCCCAAAGCCCCATGTCCATATTGGGGATTAGGGCTTCAAACATATGAATTTGGGGGGACACAGTTCAGTCCATACCATGTTTAATTCATTCATAGCAAGGAAAAATTTTCCCTTGATATGTTCTAAAGGACAGTCTTTTTGTTTTGTTTTGTTTTCGAGGAAATAGTAAAGGATTGTATCTTTTTCTTTTCTTTCCTTTTTTTTTTTTCTGAGACAGGGTCTCAAGTTGTCATCCTAGGTAGAGTGCTATGGTGTCACAGCTCACAGCAACTTCAAACTCTTAGGTTTAAGTGATTCTCTTGCCTCAGCCTCCCAAGTAGCTGGGACTACAGGCGCCTGTCACAATGCCCAGCTATTTTTTGGTTGTAGTTGTTGTTTGGCGGGCCTGGGCTGGATACAAACCCACCAGCTCCAGTGTATGTGGCTGGCGCTCTAGCCACTTAGCTACAGGCACTGAGCCTCTTTTCTTTCTTTCTTTCTTTCTTTTTTTTTTTTTGAGACAGAATCTCACTCTGTCACCCTGGGTAGACTTCTGTGGCTTGATCATAACTCACAGCAACCTCAAACTCTTGGGCTCAAGTAATCCTTCTGCCTCAGCCTCCTGAGTAGCTGGGACTACAGGCACTCACCACAATACCCAGCTAGTTTTTCTATTTTTACTAGAGATAGGATCTCCCTCTTGTTCAGGCTGGTCTAAAACTCCTGAGCTCAAGTGATCCTCCTGCCTTGACCTCCCAGAGTGGTAGGATTACAAACAGGAGCCACTGCACCCAGCTGTAATGGACTATACCTTAATTATTATGTAGTACTTAAATTTTTACTTGTAATAAAGTGCCCATGTCCTTGATGCTAAAAGTGTATTGCAATAGGGAAAACGAGCCTATACTGAAAGTTATAGAGTGAATTCAGTTACATGGACATTATATATCAATAGGTGACAAAGTGAGAGTAGATAAATTAATAATGTTCTGTGACTGCATATAATAGCATAAGTGATGCAATTCAGTGATACATTCAGTAGACTGATAATCTTTTAATCTTCATGTCACTTGTTTCCCCCCTAAACTCCAGGGAAAAAGATAACTCATTGAAAGAGTTGAACATTGCAAATTTGCACATCAGATACATGTACCTCAGAATTTTTGACTTATTTAAAATGAGCATAATGCATCCCCCGAAAGAATCCCCCGTCCTCCTCACCACCTTGGGTAGAGCCATCTCCTTTGTCTATAACTCTTTTCAAGGGAACTAGAATAGGCAGTGGCCTTTGCTGAGGTGAATGTTTGAACACATTTATGTAACAAAGTGATGTCCTTGACAATATTCAGATATTAGTTGGTTTAAATTCAAAACCCAGATTAACACAAAACTGAATACATTTGGCCGCAAAGTGCCATTGTGCAAAAATCATTATACTGCATTGTAATACAAGGGATATTATGTGTAAGAACCAGCCAAGAAATAATCTCCCCTTTTCTGCATTATTTAGTTACTCATTCAATATTCTTATTGTGTTTTTTTTTTTTTTTTTTTTTGAGACGGAGCCTCAAGCTATCCCCCTGGGTAGAGTGCCATGGCATCACGCTCACAGCAACCTCCAACTCCTGGGCTCAAGCGAGTCTCCTGCCTCAGCCTCCCAAGTAGCTGGGACTACAGGCGCCCGCCACAACGCCTGGCCATTTTTTGGTTGCAGCCATCATTGTTGTTTGGTGGGCCCGGGCTGGGGATTCGAACCCGCCACCTTAGGTGTATGTGGCTGGTGCCTTAGCTGCTTGAGCCACAGGCGCCGAGCCTTGGTTTTGTTTTTACTACATTTAAGATATAATACTAGGAACTGTGTAGGAAATGTAAATAGCCCCCGAAACTCTGCCTTCAAATAATTTATGATTAGGAGGTTCTTGATTAGGGCAGGAGGATGAGATGATAGGATATGTAAAATAGTAGCAATTCTATCTTATAGTAAGTACTAGGAATTGTTAGAGGGGTATGACTACAGTGATGTTGGGGGCTAGAGGTGGAAAAGGCAACTTTTCTTGGGGCACCTGGGAAGGTTTAGTGAAGGTCATGATGCTTAATCTATGGTTTGAAAGATACTTAGAACTTGGACCCTTCTGTGCTTGATTCTGTTTCCTTTCGTTTCCTTTACAGCTTTGTTTAATCTGTTATTCCTCTCTTGCATATCTACTGTACCTCACCACTGAGGCCCTCCTTTTTTTTTTTTTTTTGCAGTTTTTGGCTGGGGCTGGGTTTGAACCCATCACCTCTGGTACATGGGGTCAGCGCCCTACTCCTTTGAGCCACAGGCACCACCCACTGAGGCCCTCTTTTATGATTAAGATATTTCAGATCTTCTTTAAGATTGTTTTAGACAGTCTAATTCCCTTTCTTTTCCACATAAATTTTAGCATGATCTTGTCAACATGTGCAAAAGAAATCCTGGTGGGATTTTGATTATGAATGCATTAAATCTATAGAGTTATTTGTGGGCCATTGGTGGCTTCATAACATGGAGTCTTCCAATCCATGAATATGGTATATCACCCCATTTATTTATGTCCCCTCTGAAGTCTTCCATCAGTGTTTTGTAGTTTTCAGCATACAGATTCAGCACACATTTTGTTAAATTTATACCTCCATATTTTTCTTCCTTCCTTTTCCTTTTTTGATGCTATAAATCATACCTAAAAAAACAAATTCCAATTATTCATTTCAGGTATATATTGAAATATAATTGATAGCAATGTATTGCCCTTGTAGCTTCTCACCTTGCTAAACTTGCCCATTAGTTTTTGGAGATTTCTTGTAGCATCGACAGTCATATCAACTGTTAATGGAAAAAGTTGTATTTCTTCCTTTCCAATCTGGATACCTTTTATTTCTTTATGTTGCCCGATAGCACTGGCTAGACTTCCAACACAATGTTAAAAATTGGTGAGAGTGGAAATCTTTGCCTTGTTTCTGATCTCAGAAGGGAAGCCTCAGTCTTTTATCATTAACTATAATGCTAACTGAGATTTTTTCATATATGCATGTTGTTAGCTTAAGGATGTTCTCTTCTATTCATCCTTTGCTGAGATCTTTTTATCAGGATTGGATTCTAGATTTTGTCAGATGCTCTTTCTATATTTATGGAGATGATCATATGGTTTTTCTTTTTTAGTCTGTTAATATGGGGAATAACATTGATTTAGTTTTTATTGTTGACCAGCCTTGAGGTTGCTGTGAGCTATGATGCCACAGCATTCTACTGAGGGTAGCAAAGTAAGATTCTGTCTTAAAAAAATTAAAAGCAAAAAATAAAATATTCTTTAAAAAAAATCATCTTAGCCTGGTGCAGTGGCTCATGTCTGTAATCCCAGCACTTGGGAGGCCTAGGTGAGTGGATTGCCTGAACTCATGTGTTCAAAACCTAGCCTGAGCCAGAGCGAGACCCTGTCTCTAAAATATAGCCAGATGCTGTGGCATGCACCTGTAGTCCCAGCTATGGGGGAGACTGAGGCAAAAGAATCACTTGAAACCAAGAGTTTGAGGTGCTGTGAGCTAAGACGCCATGGCACTCTGATCAAGTGAGAATCTGTCTCAAAAAAAATCATTTTGTCAGTGTTCAATGAGTGCAGTATCATCTTATACCTCTCTTAGGTTATTGATGATATATACGTATAAACATATACATACATTGTGTGTGTGTGTGTATATATACGTTTTTTCTCAATGAATAGCATCATTTCCTTCATGTTGACTTTCCTTTTTTTATTTGGTCTCTTATCTTCCTACTGCAGTCTTCCCTCAGATATCTGGCAATTGTTAGCCATATGTATGTATATGATTAAAAGTGTGGGAGTAAAATACTAAGTGAATACTATGGGCATGTAGGGAAGCTTATAGAATTGGAGCTTCACTATAGGTTAATGTGGGTGCAGTGTTCTTTTTTTTTTTTTTTTTGAGACAGAGCCTCAAGC